ATTCCTATGCCCTTCATCAGGACACTGTTGTTGAGGGGGTTTTGCAAGAGGCCTGAGTATCAATATTTTTAACAAGCAGCCCTGCTGATTCTTAGAAAGAAGGTCCAGTGCTTACCCTTTAAAAAGTACTCCTCTAAAGCCTGCTTCAATATTGCTACAAAGATCTGTGTACTTTCAAATTCTTCCCAAGAAAAATGATATTCATCAAGTGCCAACATTCAGAAGTAGCAAATCGCAGCTGGAAAGACATATTTGTTTGAAACCCTAATAGGAGCAAGTATTGTTTCTATTTATTTTTTTCTGCATATATAAGATATTTGCATTTCATTCCACATTAAATGGGATTTTGTAAAATGGCCTGGGGAAGCCTAAATGCAACTTATGATGCTGTTTCCATCTGAAAATGAATTTAAATTTCTAAAGAGCTAATTTAAGGACTTTTGAAATATAACCAGTTCATAATTTGAGAATTTCATATATCACTCCAACTGAAACAATTTGGTTATGATACCAAGGAATTATTGTTATTTTTGTTAGACAATACTAGCATTTTGGTCATAGAAGAAAATATACTTTTCAGAGATGCATACAAAACTAGGTGGGGATACAATGAGAGGATGTTCAGGATTTATTTTAAAATATTTCAACAAAGACAATAAAAATTTCAGAAAAGAATACATGAAGTAAGTGAAGCAAAATCTTGCTAATTACTGAACCTGGAAAATGGAAATATGAGACTATAATTTATTGCTTTATACTTCTGTGAATATTGGAGAAATGAGTGTAGGAGAGATCGGTTAATGTAGCAGCCATGTAAGATTCCTACAGGACTATGCGAACTGGGTTAATTACTAGCATCACAAAGGAATGACATCAGAGGCCCGTTAATTTGGGAAGAGATGAACTTGTCTTTTGATAGTTCCTGATATGTGAGAGAAAAAAGAAATCAAAGGCAGAGCACATGGAAAAGTAATTTCTTAATTATTTGAAAGATATTTTTGTTTTTCTGAGATGTACAAAAAGGCTTAATTCAATGCACAATACATCAGAAACAGTGTGGTAAGGGGCAAAGCACATTCAGACATGATACTCTTTTTGATCTCCCTTTATTTAAATTATAAGAGTACGGTCAAATCATTTCTGGCTTTTGCCCTTTACAAAAAAATTACAAAATGTGGATAAGAGACTTCTTGGCGTTCTTCTAACTGTGGACTATGAACTGCACACAAAAGCTGGTTATTAGAAATACTAGTAAATCCTACTTGGTGATAAGCCAATTATTTGATAAATTTTTCATATCAGTTTTAGGGAGAGGATGGAGAAGAAAGCTAGAAGATAAAAAACACAAAGAGATAGCTACAGTTGAAGAAAAATAAAAAAGAAGAATCTAGGTCCTTAAATGAGTATTAACTAATGGTACCATCACCCATGTTCTACTATTATGAGCAGTTGTAACTCACAATACTGGCATGTTTATTCCTTGTGCTGCTCTTAGTTTTCAACTTCTGTGGTAATTGGAACTCCCTTAAAAAGACTCTTTAAAGCCTCAAGAAATGCAGATTCCAGGTCCTCCCTGTGCCATCATCAGCCACATAGCATTTTTTTAGCCTCAGTTTATTCATCTGTAAAGCAGCATTCAGTAGATGACTTTAAAGTTCTCTTCCAGCTCAAATATTCCACAACACAGTTTTTCATGGGTATCTTTTTATCTTTAAAATCTTCAGATACTTTATTTTGAATAAGTTTCACTACCAAGTACTGGGAAGCAATTAACCAGACCTCAGCACAAGCTGAGTCCAAGCACAAAAATTACCTGAGGGTAGACAAACACAAGACAAGAACTGATTCTTTTGCAAGGGCTAAGGATCTCTTATTCTTTCCCTTTCTTCAAATAGTAGGTGCTAAGGGATGATTTCCTGGTAAATTTCAATCAGAAATAGAAAAAAAAGAGAGAGAGAGATCTAAATTCATATGTCACGTTCAATATAAAGTCTAAATTGCAAGTAATTTTTCTGGACCATGCATATAAAGGAATCTGCTTTAAATCTACTTTATTGGTAAGCATAGGGAAATATGTCTAGGAAATATATCTGGCCATTATTATAACAAGGAGAGAGAATAAAGAATCTATATTCTATATCACTCAGCTCTTATTTTAAAATAAAAACACTGGAAGCCTATAGTAAATATTATATACTTTTAGACATTTTATTTTCAGAGATAAAGTATATCCTATTTGTGGCTTCAGTGCACTTTACCACTCATGCATTATGTAGGTGTCTCAAATTGTTTAAAAAAAAAATGTATGGCCTATAAAATGATTTTTGACTGTGGCTTTGAAAGGCCACACGAAATTTAACATGTCTAGTCTGGATTCTTTCAAACTTTCTGGTCAATTATTCGTAAATAACAAGTGCAATTCTTCACTTTTTCTACAGGGAGAAAAGAATTGCTAAAATGACTGGAATGGTTAAACAAAACAAATGAAAGAGAGACTATAAAGAAAAGAGACATTAGCTCCTGTAATGTGTCAACGATAAATAATGGTCAATAGAAACCTATCACATCTAGTCATTTACATCATCTCAAGTGAAGGTCAGAGATAATCGGGCCAGAAATACCACCTTGTAAAAGGGTCATCTGGTCACAAAGATACTGCGCTTGGGAAATCACTGACAGAGTCAGCTGTTCCCAAAGCATCACTCAGTCCAAAGAACTGAGCATATATAAAGGAATAAAAACAAAGGATCTGTTCTAAATGCAAAGTGTAGGTGGAAACATAAAAGAATGTAAAAAGGAACCTTCCTCTTCCCCAACTTTGGGACATCCTTCTCTTCACAGAAATCTCAACCCTTGGGCAAAAGAAGAGATCAGCATGAAGGGCCCTTCCCGGGAGGGAACACCCCTCTGGGACTGGTCTCCAGTAGGCTGGCCAGAACTCTCAGCTCATGAAACAGCACTGCTGTCTGTGTGGGCGTAGTGCTCTCTGAGAAGGTCACTGTGGAAATAGGACACAAGGCCAGAGCAGGAAACCAGCCGGAGTCAAGAGTAACACAGCACCCTTTTCCCATTTTGCCAATTTGCTAAACCTGCGAAGAAATGCTATCCTTCCCCAATACGTGATGTCTTACTCTAGCACGATGACTACACACCCTTAGGGCACACCCTGACTTGACCCTGACCCACACCCATCCTTTCTTTTTTCTCCCTCTATTAACATATTTTCTCTCTATTCAAAACAAACCTTGCCCCTCTGACATCTCTTAGACACAGGCATTTTCCCAGTGTTCAACCTAGAAATTAAAGTGAGAGTAAGCCCAGACCTCTCCTCTTCCACTCCCCTTCCTCTGTTCACCTCCTAACTCATACCCCAACTCTAAATCAAAGCCCCATCAAGGTATGGCATTTTTGCTTAGCTCAGTGCCCCAGAACCTAGGATGGTGCAAGGAATACAGCAGGTCCTCCATAAATAGGGAAATAATCTATTACATTCCCCCAGCTAACTACTATGCCATCATCAGACCTTTCCTTTTCCCATGCCGGATCCCATGGGCAATCATCAATTTTTCCGCCCTCATGATACACAATCAAATCCATCACCCACATTTCCATCTTATATCCTTACCCAAAAGCCAAGCTCTTAAAAGGCCCAGACATTTCAGCAAGGCTGCTTTTTGCTTGGGCTCTGACTTTAAAACTCATCCTGATAATAAAGCTCTCAAGAATCTCCTCCTTGTTCATCTCCTTATCCAAAGTCACAGTCCCGCCCACTTAAGGACTTGCCTCCCCCATCAAAGTCTCTAATTGAGAACATACCTCTGCTCCGGGAATATTTACTCCCACTTTCTCCAGTCCTTTTCCAAAAAGCACATGCACCAATTAAACTTCAAACCGTCCCCCTCAAATTATATATATATATATATATATATATATATGCCTTGTTATACCAGACTTCTATCAAAACCAACAGTACATGGAATGCTTCTCTTCTGTCTTCATTATTGCTTTATGTTATCAAGAACCCATCTATTCCCTAGGGTATTTCCTTCATTCCTAAAACATATATTATTGAACTCATCATAGGTAGCAAAAGGCAGAAAAAAGGAAAGAGAACAATAGATGTGGGGAAATGATCTATGGGCTTCTCTCCACTTATTACTCCTCTCCTCACCGCAAGTATCTGACTGTTTAAAATCATTGCTTCCATCCTTGCAAGAACAAGGTACATTTTGCCTAGTGAAACCGCTCCTTGTTTTGCTGATTCAAAATTGGGAGGGAATATATTAAGAGATGGGATTATTCTAGGATACATTATTTTGTTTTTTCAAAATGTATAATCATGATGGATCTCCCCATAGTTGCTGGGTCCCTGAAATCTAATTTGCCTCCATCAGTCTCAAACTAGAAATGGAAAAAGAATGCAAAATCATGAAAGTAAAGTTCATGTTCTAATCATCACTAAGGAGTCATCTGCCTTCTGTTGCCAGAAGCCTCCAAACTGAGGAATTTACTGGTGAAGAAGCCATGTTGCATTCTCAACTCCAATTACCTTTTGCCTCAGAATCACTATACCATTTCCTTTAGTAAGTGAGGTTGACGTGGGTTAAAAACGTGGAAGATTAAAGAAGGTATTAAAGAAATCAGCTAATCCCTTTCTCACCCGCAATACCCTCCTCCAATTTCTGATTAACATTGATAATCTATTATCACATATAACTCTCCCACCTACCCTGTAAATAATAATAGCTCCCAGACTCTGTCCTTTATATATATTCTCCCATTTAACCCATCCCAAAAACCTGGCAGGTAAGTTTTAACATTCCCATTTTACAGCTATGATAACTGGGGGCTCAAAGGGAAACGATGCCAAAAACTTTGTTGGCCAATTGTTATTTAAAATAGGCCATACCACTCCTTTGTTAACATTATAAAGTACGGAATATCTTTAAAAACTGTGTGGATTTAGAACTCCTAAAATTAGAAAATTTTAAAATGCATACCTGCTTTTTCCTTGAATTTGCTTTGGGAAACAGGCCTGCTGACAACACAGATGTAAATGGAGAACAGCATAGCTCAGGAAAAGGGTTTGGAATAGATGGCATTTCCAGAACATCAAGATCTTTCTTTTTTCTCCTACACCAAGAGAACATAGGAGGTAATTTACATAAAGCGGAATGTAAAATATAATTGCTGACAGGATTAAGAAGTTAAGGGCCAACATGTACCACTGCGTGACAACACTAATATTACATAAAGTACACAGCAAAGGTCTGTGATGTACTTTCTGTGGGTCAAAATAAAATTTGTTAATTGATATAAACCAATTTCCCATAGTATTTCAATCTTTTTTCGGGCGGGGGGGACCTTTAAAAAAAATCACTAGGTATAGAAACTCCATTTCCAGCATTTTTTATAATTTTCCTAAGCTGAAGTACAGACTATATAATTATTGACGCAAAAACCATCCTGAGAAGTTAGACATTTTTATGGATCCATTAAATTGACAAAGTCTTCAAACATTTAGTGAATTCATCCCTATGCTATTTTACTAATCACTTTTGGAAGTTATGGTTTATTAATTATAGCTGTGGTTCATCTCACTTCAAATTTCATTCACAATGTTGCCCACACACAGTCTGTTGATTTTTCAAGTGCTTATAGATACTAAACCGCAAGGCAGTGTTTTTGAAGAGGTAAGTGAATAGAACTTGCTAGTATAAAATGTACTCTAGTCCACTGCAGAGTAATTTTAACTTCAGTGAAGTTGAAGCACTTTGAAAATCTGGAGGAAAAAAAAGTACCATTTCAATGTATGAATATAAAGGACTACAGATTTTCGTATTGTTGCAGTCTTTTTCTTTCCTAAAGTATGTGCAAAATTGTGAACTCTAAAGGCACTTAGCGCTGAATGCTATGGAGATTGAGAAACCTTTTAAAGCCTCTATTCTTTCCTGCTTAACAGCAAGACTGCTCAAATGTCAATCCTTGCTTTGCCTCTCCAGGGTCGCTGTAAGACTCTATGTGGGAGGTGAACTCATTTATGCTATGATTTTTTTAAATATATAAAATAAAAAGGATTAGGGTTTTTCTGTTTTGGTTTGGTTTTGGGGTTTTTTATAGTGCAGGGCCACGAAGAGAGGAAGGGGCTGGTCCGCCTGGCCTCCTAGTTCGCACGGATGGGCAGAGGTGAGAACGACCAGGAGCTCTCAATGAAACGGTTATGCTATTTATAAGGCGCTGGGAGATCGCAATGTCCTGCTAAGCCGGTAGGAGCCGGCTCAAAGGGAATTGTCTTCAGAGACTTTCACAAACTTGGCCCAGCTCTGGGCACATGGCTCACCCCCTAGGACCGCCTCCTTAGCCCCTCGCCGGCTGCCAACCCAGGACACTCCCCCGCGCCCTCCGAGGGCTGCCTACCTGTCTGCAGCACAGCCGCGGGTCCCGTCCGGAGGGGGCAGGAGCGCCCGCGTGTGCAACCAGGGGGCAGGCGCCAGGTCGCGGGCGTCGCCCCTCCCCTGGGCAGCACCGCACACCTGGGCAGCCAGCGGCGAGTCCTGGGCAGCCGCCCTATCCGCGGCGCTCTGCCCATCTTGCAGGGAAGTGGTCATTGTCGTTGGCCGGGGGGTCTCGGGTGTCACGGGAGACCCGGCGCGGCGGGGAGAGGGAGGCTGGGTGGCGGGAGGCGAAGCGCCTGCTTGGCAGCCCGAGCGCGCTGCAGGTGCGGTGGCCTCGCCGCCTGCGCTCCGGGCCCGGGCGGCTCAGAAGCGCGGCCGAGCAGTCGGAGAGGCGGCGGGGGAAGGGAGGGGGCGGAAGAGGAGGGTGGGGAGAGGGGAGGAGCGGCCGGTGGGTGGGGGCCGCGGGCGGCGGGGCGAGGCGCGGAGGGGGCGGGGAGGGCGCCGAGCGCCGGGCGGGCCTCGCACCCCGCCCGAGACGCGCCGGGGCGCTGGCGGAGGTCCCGTGTGGCCGGGGTTCGGCCCTCGGTGGCCGGCACGGGAGGCCCGGGCCGCCACCTACCCAGGTGGGCACCCGAGCGCGAGGGCTGAGCCCAGGGTCAGGGCGGGCCCGCACCGCTGGAGGCGGGGACCCATGTGAGCCGGCGCTCCCGAGGGGTTTGCCTAGCGGAGCGCAGGCGGGGCTGGGGTCTGGGAGGCCCTGACCCCCCAGACCCTTCTTTTCTGGCTCTGAGATCACCTAAGCTGTGGCTGGGACGCCATGACAGGCCCCACCGTGCCCGGAGGCCAGGGGCCATGGGGCTAGGTTTGCCCCAGTCTTCCCCCACGTGCCTCTTCCTTCCACTCCTGCAGTCTTAGACGGTGCCTGGGGCGGGGGGGGGGGGGGGGGGGGGGGGGGGGGGGGGGGTAAGGGAGCAGGGAGTGCAATCCATGCAGTATAGGAAACTACTGAGATGTTTCAGAATTCTTAGTAAGCCGTGAATAATCCTGAAGGTGTCTTGGGAGTTCGAAAAAAATATTTTCTTTTAGTAAGAGCAGCCCTCATGTAATGAATCCCCAGTCTGCCTTGTCCTATTCCACCCTCGCAACAGCCTCACAAATCTCAGTGTTTACCCCATTTTACAGATAAGGAAAATGGGGTTCAATAGCCTGCTTGGCAGAGCCCTAGAAATCAGTGCAGTTAAGCTTCCAATTCAGAAGATCCTTTCTTAAAAACCCAGACTATTTGAAGTAGTAGCCCCCTTCTGTGATTTTGCTTTCCTCCATTTCAGTTACCTGTGGTCAACCTCCTTCTGGAATAGATGACCTTCCTTTTGAGATACAGGCAGAAAGTCAGTAGCTTCTTCTCAAGGCACACCTCATTCTCCTCACTTCATCTCATCAGGTAGGCATTTTGTCATCTCACATCATCACAAGAAGGGTGAGTAAGTTCGATACGATATTTTGAGAGAAACCACATTTATGTAACCTTTAGTACAGTATATTGTTAAAATCGTTCTATTTATTAGTTATGATTGTTAATCTCTTACTGTGCCTAATTTATAAATTAAAATGTATCAGGTAGCCATGTAGAGCATAAAACATGGTATATATAATATAGTTTATAAGATAGATACATAATCAGTATAGGTGGTTCAGTCTGATACTAGATAATGGTTTCAGGTATCCACTGGGGAGTCTTGAAACACATTTCTGCAGTTAAGGGTGGATTACGGTAATTACATTATGCCTACGCTCTGAGGTGCAACTATCCCACTCTGAAATTCTGAGTGCTACTGTGTTTCTGCTCTTCCCATAAGTTCCCTCATCCCAGTGCACTGTAGAGGATTTCCAAATGTTTTACACACTCTTTGTTCTTTGACCAAATTAGGTAACAAGTGTCCCTGGCATCTGTTTCACCAGGTTTTCTTAACCTCCACAACTCCGGCCCAGGGTAAGGCAAACACTTCCACCTGAAGAAGTAGGCAAAACCCTTTTTTCCATACATACACACATACACCACAGCACCAGCCTTCTAACAACCAGGGGTCACTAACTCCTAGCTTCTAAGGAAACTGGGAGTACACCACAGAAGGAAAATCTTTGGGTCAAATAGCTGATAGAATCCAAGTTCTTCATTTTACTGATGTCAAAATTAAGACCCAATAAAGAGCAGTATCAGTTTGGGTCACACAGTGGGTGTGGTCTCCAGGAGACTTTCTACAGTGCGATAGCCATGGAAGGACAAAATGGTAGTTCTCGGGCTGGATAAAATAATAGTACTCATCATGGTGAAAGTTAACGTGTTTTGATGCTGTGTGCCAGGCAAAGCCCTCACTCACCTCCAGGTCCCTAAATATGGTCTAAATTCTACATGCAGGTTTTAAGATAGTTTCATGTAAAAGCATACAGATATATTGAGGCCATTCCAGCAAAATAAAAAAGAGGTTATGTATTTGCAGATAACTTGAACTAAACATATAAAGAAACAACTCCTCTTCCTTCCCTCCTCTTCCTTCTTCCTCCTCCTCTTTTTTTTTTCTTCTTCCTCTTTTTTCTTTCTTCTTCATCCCTATATTGTCCCAAAAGTCTTGGAGGCACCCATTTCTCCTCTAGAATGGTACACTCTGGGGGGACTTGGGTGGCTCTGTCAGTTAAGTGTCTGCCTTCGGCTCAGGTCATGATCCCAGGATCCTGGGATCGAGCCCCACATTGGGCTCCCTGCTCAGTGGAGGATTCTGCTCCCCTTTTCCCCCTGTCTCTGCTCCTGTCTCTTGCTCTCACTCTTGCTCTCTCTCTCTTAAATAAATAAATAAAATCTTTTCTAAAAATGTGAAAAACTAAAAATAAAAAAAAATAAAATGGAATACTCTGAGCATCTAACAAGAGGATGAATCAGTCATTAAAGTTTGTTCCCACCCTGCTCCCAGCAACTCTCTCTCTCTCTCTCTCTCTCTCTCTCTCACACACACACACACAAACACACACACACACAGAGAACAGGCTTTTTTGTCAGAGAAAAGGATAGGTGAAAAGTGTTTATATCACCAGAATCACTGGAAGTACTATTTCCCAATAGTGTGTCCTGCTCCACTTCCCAGTATGAATGTTTAACCTCAAGACCGAGTATTCATTTGTTGGAATGAGATCTCAATCTCGTCTCCCCTCTCCAGACATTTTCTTTTAGTGACTATCCAGGGAGTATCCATTTGCAGCCTTTATGCTCCTTTTCTAAACCCCGTGGCAAAAATTATAATACCCATAGTCATCAGGGGCAAAAGCAAAAAGAACAAGTCTCTGAGGAATGGGACCTAAATAGTTGTGTCTTGCAGACGGGAGTTAAATATTGAATTTACATCTAGATACCTTGAGGCTCTCTACCAAGATTATTAGAATTAGCTCATTCTCATTTTCGAAGCAAGCCAACAAAAGAACCAGTTTTTCTATTTAAAAGGTTTACAAAAAGTGATTCTAAATAAAGAACTATGCAATATAAAAGCAGAATACTATCAGACCTAGTACAGTCTAAAAGAATACAGTGACAGTTTTTAACCAAAAAGGAAGTTATAAAGGGAGATTTTTCCTTCCCATAACTGACAAAGATTTCTGAAACAATGAGGCAGATATGTTGGTCTGAAACACCAAGGCAGGTATCTTGGTACCAAAGACTGGATCCTCCCCTGAGTGGCTGTTGTCCTTTTTGACTTGAATCTGTGAAACCGCAAAGGAAGCAGTTTGTCTCTTGCCACCCCCCCCCCCCCCCCCCCCCCCCCCCCCCCCACCCCCCGCCAATGTGAGCGTTGTCTGCCCCTTTGCACTTCCTACCTCTTGCTAGGTACCCTAGCCTTTCTACCCTTCAAGGAAGAGGTGTTCTCCCTGCTTTATTCTCTCCCTTCCCTTATTCATCAAATCAAATTTCTTACCCTTTATGTTGGGAAAGATAACATACATACAGAAAAGAAGTTCACAGACAAAATTGTATGACGACTTATCACAAGGCAAACACCAATGTCAGGTCGTGAATTGCAGTCAGTCCTCTAAAAGCTTCTCCCTCCAATCCGGATTTTCATGGTAATCAACTCATAGTTTAACCATAAGTATCCACCCCAGAGCACAATAAAGTAGGTTGTCTGGTTTTGACCTTTACATAAATGGAATCATACAGTATGACCCATTTGTGCTAGACTTGGTTCCCTTAAGGTATTATTTACAATATTCTTTTTCAAGTAGCTGTAGCTCTTTCATTCTTCTATTGTATGTAAATAGCACAGTTTATTTATTCATTCTACGGCTGATAAGCATCTGGATGAATTCCAGCTTCTGACTATTGTTAATGCTGCTGCAATGAACATTTTGTACATGTCTCTTGATGCACATGTGTATACATTTCTGGATGGTATATATGAGGGGCATTGTGAGGTCATGCTATGTGTATGTTCAGCTTGAGTAGATTCTGCCGATTTCTCAGAATTGTACCAATTCACAACCAGTAGCATAAGTTTCCTCAGTTCTTCACATCCTTGAGGATTGGAATAGTATTCAAATTTTCACAGTAGACATTCTGGTTGAGTATATAGCCATATCTCGGGGTGGAACTTGACCTTTCTTGATGAATAATGAGGTTGAGAACTTTTTTAGGTGATTGCCATTTGAATGTCCTCTTTTGATAAGTACCAATTCAAATATGCCCATTTTTATGTCATCTTTTTCTTATTCTTTTATAAGTATTCTTTGTATATTGTTAGCAGCTCTTTGTTAGTTATGTTTTGAAAGTGTACTCCTCCATTCTGTGTCTTAACATCTTATAACTCTTAATGGTATCTTTTGATAAATAGTAGAAGTTCTTAAGTATTAAATAACCAAATTTATTTTTTATGATTGTTTATAGCTTGTTAGAAAATTTATATATATATATATTTATATATATATATTCCAGAGATTTATTGTTTTGCATTCCACAATTAAATTTGTGATCCAACATGACAAATATTTTTATCCTAGGGTATGAAAATGTGAAGGCTTGAGAGTGTACAGATTATTTTTTTCCATTATAAACAGGTAATTTTACAGCTTCATTCATTAAAAGGATTTTCCTTTCCTCACAATTTTTCAGTGCCTCTTTTGTTATAATTAATTGTACACCTGTCTATGGACTTTTTCTGGGCCCTCTCTTCTAT